GGCAGGGTCCAGGGGGTGCAGACATGGGGTGGCAGGGGGGCAGGAATCAGAGGGAAGGTATGGGGAGTCAGGCAGAAGGGAGTAAGGTGTAGGGAGACAGGGGTCAAGCTACTTGACCACCCCACTGCCTGCTTCCCTACCACCTCCCCCACTGAATTTAAGATGACCCTGCAATAATTAAATTCCATACATGGAAAATTATAACAAATATTTAGATATTCCATGTATATAATCTAATTATGCAGGTATCATCTTAAATTCATCCATCTTGGATTTGCATAAATATGGGAAGCAAGGTCCAAAATTGTCAAATGGCTCTGTTGTATAATGTCCATTCTCAAAATGAGAATTTGACATTTATGATTTCAGATATTTTGTCATATGGAAAATGTGTGTGTGTGTGCATGTCTGTATTTGTATTTCTCATCCTGATGTAACAAAAATAGGTTTTAAAACATCAGAATCTCATACAACAATTTGGCTTTCTAACTAGGTTGACTGAATAACTATCTAGGAATCCAAGCGTAATGGTCCTAAATCAACATGAAGATTCCTAAAGCTAAATTTAGGCCACACTTTGAGATGAGATGAGCACCCATTAAATTCTCACAAGGATGCCTACTGGATACTGAACTCTTAGAAATCTGGCCACTTTATTTGGCTACCAAATGAGCTTAGCTCCTTTTGAAAACCTGGTTCCATCTGGATGTTGAGCTCCTTTGAAAACCTCTCTCAGATGTCTCTTTTACAGGCATAAAGTTCTGAAACTGGGGTACCTGTTTGGTGGCCTCCTCTAATTTCCTAATGGGACTTTTGCCCTAATTACAGAAGTACAATCACAATAGCAGTCTTAAAAGAAGTTTTGACATAGAAAGCAGTCCAGTAGTCCCTCACCTGAATGGTTTGTCTGTCTACAGAAACTTATTCTATTAGAGATATTCCAGGAATGTTCCTTTTGTGGCTTCCTTACCTTGGAATCAAAACTATTATATTCCAGAATAACTCTTCTGCTCACATGATGGAGTGATTATTCTGTAATAAAGTCATTTTAATTCTAGAACAAATAGACCATATAGGGAGCTATTCTGGATTAACTATGGTGAAATAGTTTATTTATGGATAGCTATGCAAGTCAGGTTCCCCATATAGGCATGGCCTATGAAGGTCTCCCTTACAGCCAGATCAGAGGTCAGTTAGTACACAACCAAAAAGCCTGCTCTGCCATTAATTGTGGCATAATGCAGCCTGTTATCAGCCTAGTACCTTGCACTAACCTAAAATTCACTTAGCTAAAAAGGGGGGCAAAATGCTTCTCATTGTCTATAATGTTCTAAACCAGCATAATGAATAATTCAGACATCTGAAAAGAATAACAGCAAGGAGAAGTTTGAGACAGCTTAGCAACCCAGTTTTTTTCCTGCTATAGAAGGAGTTTATTCTGTTAAAGTTTGCCCCTGGTCTGAATTACCCCAGCATAATCATCACTTTTTATGGATTTGATTAATGAGACAGACTCCATATGTCTTTGAAAAAACTAGGTATTTGTCCTGAAGCCCAGCTCAGCTCACTAAAAGCTCATTTTTTATCTTGTGCACTAAAATATATTTTCCTCACCATTTACAAGAATTTGTAGGAGTCTGGCCCATTTCCTTCAGAAATCATCAGGGGCCAATAAACAGAAACCATTCACAGTGTGTCATTGTGATTTTAATTCCATTAACAACTTTATTTCAAGAGAAATTGTGACACTCCATATCTGTTCTCCATAGATTGTGGGGTTTTCCCCGTTGCATTATTTTTAAATATGTGCTCATACAACAGTTCAGAATTATAGCACTCAAAGGGGAAAAGCTGTTACGGAAGGAGTTGCAATCAGTAAAATTCCAGAAAAAGGGGAAAAGGCCGGAGCAGTTTAATGACTTTTTCATATTGGTACTTGCTATATCTTTACAACAAACATTTATGGAAATTTAATCAAGATTTTTTTTCAGACTTCCTGCTTCCTCTGCAACATTCTCTTCCTTTTTGGACTATGTACTGGGGAATACATTTAGCTCCCTGTTCATTTTCTACCTTAGATCATGTTATCCAAAGGGCATTTGAAGGAGAACTGCACCCAGTTCGCTCATTCCACTAGTGCCAATTTATATGAGATAAGATCTTTCCGCAACATTTATATTTTTAATTATAGCTGGCCATTTTAAGTCCCACATCCTGGAGGCACCAAGTAAAAGACACCTTGGCCTCCTAAGTGGAAAGTTGTGTTATTTGTGGCATCATCTTAACATCCACAAAGGGCAATACCAGTAAAAATGTGTGTCTATGTTTGAAAATTGTTGTATGGGAAACCCAGCCTCCCATTGCTGCATTTCATCCCAGTGTTAAAGTATCGGTTCAGGTGCTTCTGAAAGGGCCAGCCCTAGCCACACTATGTTGTAAGAAATAACAGTGAGGTCAATCACAGTTAGAGGTAGGGTAGGGTTCAATCACATTCTTTTGCAAGTAGGTTTGAATGCACCTGGCCCGTACTCCTAGCAGACCCATCACTGATTAGGTCCATAAGGCAGCTGCAGCTGAGAAACAAAGTCAAACATGGCTCAGTTTCCCCATGTAGTCCTGGCCAATGTGTCAAATTCATCAAGCCACGGTCAAATTGGCTAGCCTACTGGCTGTGAATCATAAAATAGTCTGCAAAGTTTAAACAAATAGGCTCCCTCTGTGGCTAAAGCAGCTTTGAAACTAGGTCACACTCATTTCAACAATCTTACCAGCCACTCGGATACCAGCCACTCGGTTCAAGGTCTCATCTGGTCTACCATAGTACACAGAGGTCTCAGGTGAGACTAAGGCCCCTTGAATTAACATATTCAGGCAGTACTTGCTACAAAAAAATTACCATCTAAATAAGCAAAAATTGATACAGAGGGAAGTGGGCATGTCTGTATCCATTTCACTGATTTGGCACTAAAGGATGGAGATACATAAGGTATGGACAAACATACCCTATGTTTGTAAAAGCTTCAAAAGAGGAAGGGGAGCTGCAAGGAACCATCCAGAACCTATTACATGTGCATAGGCCTGCATCATTACGAGTAAGCTACATCACCCCATCTTTGGTCTGGATGAAGCAGGACTAAAGCTGGAGAAGTTTTGCTAAATTTCTATCACTACAGGCTCATGCAGACATACCTGTTATGGTATAATAGCTGATCCCCTTTTGAAGCTGCTACAATTGTACATTTGTCCATACCCACGAACTCACAGGAAACCTGGGGAAGAGCTGAGTACCGAAATCAAAGCTTAATCTCCTGCCTCTTAACCACAAGACCTTACTTCCCCTCAAAAATGCCAAACAGCTAGTTTTTAAATACACTGCATATTTTACTGCTGCTGGAAAGTGCTTTTGTTGGGAATTTACATATTTCCAGGGTGAATAACACAGCTGGATGGATGTTCTTTTTTAAATTAACCTAGGTAGGAATAACAATCCTTTAACATTAATCCCAGTTCAGTTTAGTCTCTAGCTGTCAGGCCCAATCCTGAAGGATGTGGAAGACTTCCTGAAGGCTCTTAGTATCAGAACAATGACTATAATAGGTGGTCACCAAGCTAGGCCATGAACCAAGAACCATCATGTCAGTTTGAAACAGAAGACTTGAGGCTGGTTTCTGAGACAAGGTTCAATAAGCAGGAACAAGGATAAAGCAAAGAAGCCAACAAGCAGGATCCAGAGAACAGGAAACTTGTCGCAACAAGCAGGAACTAAGACACTAGGATGAGAGTCAGGGGTTTATTAGGTGCAAAGTAACTGAGGCCAAACCCAGATATCAGTCCAGAGTGTCAAGACTCTGGACTCATGGTCATACATACAGTTGATTAAAGCCAGGAGGTCAACAAGGAGTAAATCAGGAACAAGGAGCAACATCCAAGAATGCCATTACTAGGATAAAGCCCTACAGGAAATGGAAGGTTTTTATAGCCCATCAGGCCCTCATCAGGGGCTTGTAGCTCTCATTGGTTTGCCTGGTCCTCCATTGGGAACTTCATTGGAGGGCCTACGCTGAGTTGGGGCTGGTGGTTTGTCTACTGCCCCTAAATGCTGTGGTCTAGGCATCCACCTATGGGCATGGAAGGCTGAGGTTCAAATCCCAGAGGCTCAAATAAAGGGTTAAGACCACCATGAATATGACTGGCCCCAGATCTTGAGTATGTGAGAGAGGGTGGGAGAAACAAATGTTCTGAATTAAGTCATATGCTAAACAAGATACCTTTTTAACTTGAATATAATTTATGTGCTCATGCTGCAAAATTATATCTGCTTAGGTTTATTTCCAAGTGAATCTCCATACCACAAATCTAGACAAGAATACCATCAATCTTTTAATTAGCTTTGCTGTTTGAAGTGGCAAAGAATCCAACAGTTTGTCTATAACAGACGCCAAATGCTTAGAAACTTATTACACTGTGCTCACAGTATGGGTTCAGATATATTACCAGCGTAAAAAGAAAAAGGCAAATTAGGCCACAGTAGGAGAACACATTTTTAATATTACAATCTGTATCTTCCATCTCTAATTTAATGCTTCTGTTTCCAAAATTATGTTGCATCCTTCTGGGTAAAGAAACAACAATGAATAAATGACAAATGATTGGGCAATGAAGATAGACTATGCACTCGATGAATTATAATGAAAACTTCAGGGCAAAGAGTACATTATATATTTTTAAACAGCCTTTATATATTCAAGTTGAGAGGAAAAATAGGTGCAAATACACTTACTTGTGTATGAGATTTGCCTGTGCCTTTCAGTGTCTTTTTCCAGAAGAATTGATTGGCATCCTTTCATCTGCAAGAGACAGTGGATATTGCAGCCCATGGCGCAGATGGTTTGCAGTGTGTCAAGTGACTGAATAGTCCAATCCAAGATTTGCAGGATCTGTGGCAGTGGTACGTGCCATGAACCAAAAGAAACAGGATATGCAAACTCTCAACATTTCTGGGCACCATCCATATTATACTGTATGACTTAGTCATAAGCATAAAAAGTCAAAATACTGTATCTTAGAGAATATGAATACACCTAAAGTATTAACTGCAAGAAATCCATGGCTACTTAAGGATTGTACAATTATTATGATGCTATAAGTCCTGCAATTTGAAAGTTCAGAGCGAGAGTGGGATAGAATCCTTCTCCTTTGTGCTGGGGGGCGTTTCTGCCATATATTGTCCATTGTTTTGTCCAGGTAAATCCAAATGTTCCAGGTGAGCTACCAAGAGACAGAAAGGAATATACCAGTCACCAGAACAAGTCATAAAAGTAAAAAAAAAGAACCCACCAGGGATAAAGAGTGTTTCAAGTGGGATAACAGTAAAGTTTCACCATTGCTATGCTGTGGAGTGCTGGGCTGAGGGTATGTTCTAAATCTGATGTAGAAGTAAGGCACTAACTTTGTTTCATGGTCCATCTTTACAGTTTACAGACCCAATTCCATCCTGAGTAATTATGTTTTGTCTACTTCAATTTTTTCCTGTAATTTCAGTGGGAGAACTTCCTACTCCAGTCATTCCTATTTCATACTGATATTCCATTATGGGCCAGAAAAATATCAAGCTCAGAACCACAGTGAAAAAATGCCTTCAGAAATGCATGTAATGCCTACAAAGCCACAGACTTCCAAAATTTTGGGGAAAAAAGCTGACATCATTGCTATTCTGAAACCCAGTAAACCACCAGAGGATCCAAAGAGCTACCAACCTACCCCACTATTCTGCATTACATACAAACTCACGTAGCACATAATCCTGAATAGAACATAATTGATCTCCACCTCCCAAAAGAACAAGCTGGCTTTTGGAAAAAGTGGTGTACCACTGAACAAGTTACATTACTTACATCCAACATAGAAAAAGGATTTGAAATAAGGCAGAAAACAGGCATGGTCTTTTTTGACCTTACAGCCACTATGACACTGTATGGTATCAAGGCCTCAAATGTAAACTGCAGTCCATGATACCAGACTGCAAGCTATGTGCTTTCATCATGAACATGATTTCCAGCAGATCATGCAAACTCACTACTAGTCATGAAGAAAAAAGCAGAGCACAAACCCTGACGAATGGAGTTCCCCCAAGGGTTAGCAACAGTAAATTAGTATCACCACTCTTCCACCTGGACAAAAGTACTCTGAATTTCAAAGTAGGCACCACATCCTTCCCCACAAGCATACCCCAACCAAACTAGGAGTCACATTAGACCAGGCTTGTCCAACACATGGCCCACAGGCCACCATGTGGCCCGCCAAGCCATTTTCTGAGGCCCAAGGTGCTGCAATGGGAAACGAAAGTAAACACTGTTTACTTTTGTTCCCCCCCCTTGTCCCCCCCCCACCCCCCCAGCAGCTTCCTAATGTGGGGGGGGGGTCCTTTGGCCAGCCCACTGAGTGATAAAAAGTTCATGATCCAGCCCCACATTCAAAAAGGTTGGACACCCCTGCATTAGACCATTCCCTCACAAGTAAATATTCAGAAGGTCTGAAGTAAAGTCTCTGCACAGGTAGCTGACTTAAGATGTTTAGCCAGCATGACATGAGGTGCCAAGTTCAAAGTGCTCAGATCCGCTGCACTCGCAATGGCATATGCCCCAGCAGAATATTGTGCTCCCATGTGGTCCAGAAGTTTTCACACTAAAAAGCCCAACACTGTACTTAACTCATAACTGGCTGCACAACTTACACACACACAGATGTACTCCCTGTACTCTCAGGCATCAGACCAAGTGACATAAGAAGACAGACCCTATCATCATCACCAGCAGTAGAAGCAAGGGATGACAAAAGTCACCTGCTCCATCAACTGCTAATTTCAGATCCAAATGGAGACTTAAGAGGCTTAAAAGTGATAAGCCATTTCTACATGAAGCCCACAAGCTCCTGGAAGAGACTGGGTTGCTGAACAAAACCTATGCGCAGCAATGGAGTGGGCCAACCACTGAGAAAGGTCAGATCTATTCCTATAGCATTTTATATCAACACCAAATGAGTCCCTCACTGGGAACAACCTTGATAGAGAAACGTGGGTCAAGTTTGTACCCAGTCAGGGTAGTGTTACAGGTGGCAACTAACACGACCACCTGGTTTAGGCTTAACACTCAGGTTGCATTCTCTGCTGGGTGCCTGGAACATTTTCCTGAAAGGCAATCCCTTTCTACTCACACACCGTGTCTTGGTTGAAAAGACCAACAAAAAAAAATAGGAAGGGAAGTTCCAGTGAAATGGATGACACACTGCCCTCAGGTAAGCTCAGCTCAGCTGCTCCCCCTCTCCCATGTTCTGGGCATGGTTTTATTGCATCACTCCCTGCATGTCCGCCCACAAGCAGGGAGCACATACATTTAAAATGGGGCTGTGGCTGCACTCACTGCTCCGTCTCCAGGAATCCTGTGCCTGCAGGTAAGTTGAGCCCATTATCAGCCCCTACCAGGCTAGTATCTCCCATATACCGAGGCCTCAGTGTGAGTCTCGCCCCTCCCGTGGGACAATTGAACACTTTATTGTGTAGCACAACACCAAAGTTGAACAGACTGAGATCTGGATATGGATGCTTCAAAACAACACTTCACAAGATGAACATCTTGGACAGCCTCCTATGTGAATGCAGAGTCCATCAAAGAGCACAGCAATTAATCGAAAGGTGCAATCACTATAAAAGTCCAGACAGGGTAGATGGAATCTGCACATTGAGCGATAATACCAGACAGGGGTTCATATATTTGGAAGTTGATATCTGATGCCATACAAAAGAAGAATACGGGCCAGAAGATTAAATCCTATAGATTTAGAGTTTAAACAGAGTGCTTCAATATTGACAAACTCATCCAATTTCAACACATTCAGTATCCTGTAATTGTGCAATAGTTACAGGAGGACACAAGCTTAACAAGGCTCACCTGCTAGGGCTGCCTAATGACAATGAGTTCCTAGCACAAGTGTTCGCTTTGAAAATATGCAAAGGATACTTTGATGCACCAATGAACTGGGTCATACATGCACCAGTTAAATTCAGTTCAGCTCTAGTATCTTGTTACCAACTGGCACACACCATAGCACACCACTCAGACTTGTACCTAATCATCAAAGGGCAGGGTGGCACCTTATAGACTAACTTGTTCAGAGACTCATAAGCTTTTGCAGGATACATCCAACCTCGTAACATGAAAGCTCATGTCTCTTTGAATGACTTAATCTATAAAGGTACCACCCTGTTCTGCCTTCTGCCTAAAGACAGGCTATAACAGCTAACTACCTTTTAATGTCATGACTATTTATCCATTTAATTTAAGATGCTAAACACAGGTCATTTTATGTTGTCTAAAGTAAGCAGGAGTATTTCCCTTACACAAACTGAAGAATTTGAACTACAGACTCAATTCAAGTGTGCTTCATAACCATCCATGCAAAAGTCAGCAACTTGTAATTAAAAAGAAGCAAAAAGCTAGCTGCTGTTCACAATGGATATTCAATGTGTTTGTGCCTTTTCTGCATTTCTTGGCTTGTTCTGGGGAATGAACTGTTTGAAACCTTTTGGTCCCTCTTATAGTCCAAAGTATTGTGTTACAAGAGCAAACAAATTAAAAAGAGCAATTAAAGTAGGAAGGAGGTGTCTGTGATTCTTGGTATCCTGAAGTAGAATTAAGTTAGCAGTGGCACTAATTGATCCAACACATTATTATTGCTGAATGTTTATTCAGTGATACTGCTGGGCCTTAGATCCCTTAAGTTTAATTTTCATGGCTGTTTTAAGATAATGAATCAGTAGTGTCTACGTCTGCATTGTTTGAAAAGTGCATGGTTTGCTGAACTGAATCATCAGAAAAGCTTGCCATCACCATTTTTATGATGATGATTTGTTCAGTTAAATATGCAAACCAAACAAGACAAAAAAGCTACGAAGACAGTAGGCTCCGTTTGCATGTCACTGACACAAGCAGAAATCAGAATTAACACTACTGAAGCCAGTAGAGTTCTACTGCTAGGAAACCAGTGGAAACAAAAGTAGAATCAGACCATGTTTACTCTGCATAAAAGGAATGCCAAAAAGAAGTATATTTTGAAGCAGGAAAACTGAGAATGTACCTAAGTAATTTAGTGAGGGTCACAAGACCAAGCAATATAGTTTCAGTGCATGTGAAATTAGTGCAGCACAGTAAAGTGTGGTACAGTTCGCACTAGAGTTTATTGCTCCTGGGCGCTGTATTTACACAAGTGCCTGGAGCCATACATTGGGTTTTCAATATTTTTAAGTAGTGTACCTCTTCTGGGTACACTTCTGATGGAGCAGGGAGCGGGGGGGCACGGGTGGCAGTGGCCAGACACAGAGCACGGGGGTGGTGGCAGCCGAATGCCGGGGTGGGGGGGCTTGCATGCAGTAGTGCCAGCACCTGTGTGGCCCGCAGAGAGGAGCCACTGCCCTCACCCCGCTGCCCCGGCCCTGCTCCTGGGAGGTGGCAGCACAGGGTAGTGGGTGGCAGTGCTCTTCACATACCCCTGGTTGACAACCCCTGCCATAACACAT